CGTATATTTTCAGGACAGTTTTTATCTCTAGAGAACAGCTGAACCAGGCCTCGTATATTTTGATGGCGGTCATCAGAAACAATTAAGCAGTAGGCATATTCTTAACGACAACGTCGGTCTATGTGTTATAATTAATTTTCTATTTAATTTCACATTAATTTTATAATATTTAAATTCCTTCTTTATAAATGTTAGTTATTCTTTTAAAGACGACAGTAACTTGACACGAAAAAAAATTATTCATCTGAAGCATCAAGCAATACGTTTTCAAGTTTCGCTTTTCATGTAAGCGGGTAAGAACAAAGGACGCATTTCCTTTATGTCTTTTTTACACACACGTTCAATACACAGTAGAGTATTTCATAATCAGTAGAATAGCTCCTAGAAATATACTAAAAGGGACACACTTAGAACATTCAAATGATGAGCATTCCCTAAATAAATAGGTACAATCCATTGTCCAAAAGTCCGTTACATGAAAAGTAGGCTAAAAGTAGTGTTAAAATACGACTTATTCAATTATTAAATCCTTATTATAAAGTCAAATAAATTACGAAAAGGTTTGCAGATAACCGATTAATCTGAATGTGTTAAGTGAATCATTACTGTCCAGAATCAAGTCATCAAAGCAGCTCCCTAGTAATATGTCATCGTGTGTTATTTTCTTCGCAGTTTGTTTTTAAGTTAGTAATTATTTTCCGCGCCGTGTTCGTCTCGTCTCCCGTCAGCCGCCGGCTCCACTTGACTCCATTTCACTAAAAGCCTAAGTTTCCTTTTAAGCTCACGTTTTCATCAACCTGAGTCTCTTTGAGCTCCTCCAGGCCAGTGGGCCATAGCCTAAACATTTACTCATAAATCATTATTTGCACTGAGAAGTTCTATATGAAAGATGTGTGTCATGCTTGATGAATATATCTTTACCGGTTCAGATATTAATATTTATCCAATTAGTTTCTAAGATACTTATCAAATGTGTTCATATTAAAAGTTCTTATCTAGTTTATTTCGCTTATAGTAAAAGTTACTATGCATTTAACTACTCAGTAGTAGTACTCAGTAGTATCAAGTTGTATTAAGTAGTTCTGTAGTTTCCTGCTCGCGTGGGTTTATTTACTTCGTAAGTCATAACATTCCCACTCGCCAAGGGCACGACGCAATTCGCTAATTGAGATCGTATCACTCAATAAATATTTATAAGCTTTAGATACATCTTATTATATAGAGCAGGATGTGGGATGCACTAGATGTCATACCATGGATTTGTGTTGATACTGTTTCGATATAAACATTATTTTTTGTCCACATTCATCGATAAACTCGGGCCTTGTAAGTCTAATATCGGTTGTGGCATTACTGCAACAGTCTTCAAATCGTTCTCTAATTGTAAGTACATCATTAATTATAGTATTTAAAATGTTCATTTCTTGACAATTATATGACGTAATCGTTAAAATATGTAGTAAGGAAAGAAACTCGTTGTCGTACATGCATATAATTATCCTGAGAGTAAAAGTAGCCTCCTTGAAACGTGTGTCTTCTTTGTTTTATGATCCTCGACATTTCCCTTGTTTTTTTTCCTACAGTTTAATGCCTGTCTACAAAATTACAAATAGGTATACAAAACATCCAAATATTCAAATAAATGAATTATAAATTATTCTTCCTTCATATTTGTTACATACCTAAGTGATAATAATATGTACTTATTTTAATTTAATAATTTAAAAGTCATTAACTAGAGAATTATTCATTCTTTTTTTACTAAAAAAATTAAGATTGTGAAGGACACAACCATAGTATAAAAAAGAAATAGTTTTAATTACGAAATGAATATTCATTGCCATTTGTCCCTGAAAACTTCAGTATGCTTTGAAAAAATTGTATCGCGACTATATACAGAGCGCTACTTGGTTTTCATTCATCAATCTTATTACATTATATTACGTGTTATTAGGTAAATGAGACAGGAAAAACATTTCGTATATAGTATAAAGATGAAAGTGATAAGAGCACAGTACGATACAGAACTATATAAAAATAAGATACATTTTCAATAAAACTTTTAACGAAAATTTAAATTTTACATTATAAGCTAAAGACTACGTTCACACATGTGTGGTATAATATCGTTGTGTGAAAGAAATTAACTGATCCGGATTTTGTGATTTATGTTCGTCGGTCAATTTTCTAGTGTTTTTTTTTTATTTTATTATTCTACTACTTTATATATAGTAACGCAACAATCTTAATATGTACCTATAATATGTTAACAAAGATAAGCAACCTGAAAGGGAATTGCTTATAGACACATATGTACCTACTTAGTTTTAATTCAAACCCCATTCATTTGAATAAAACTATTATTAGCAAAACATTTATTAAATATTTTTCATAATTGGCGTTTAAATGTTTGAAGGATCATCATTGACGAATTTAAGAAAAAGATTGCCCAATTCAAGTATTACTTGCTAACAATAATGATGTTTAACATGATATATAAAAAATATACAGTATTGAAATTTAAGATTTTCATGTGTACGCATTCAAATAATGCTAAGTTACGCAGGACGAGCCCGTTATCACGGTTGATGTAAAAAAAACCGAAACTTCGGATCATGAACTTGTATGTATAAAAAATTGGTAAAAAAACGTAATATAATATTTAATACATTCGTGAATATAAAAGTATATTTATTTGTTAGGTTGTTTCTGTTTTTTACAAATTTAATCGTTTGTAGTGCTCAACAATTACGCTGCAATTTATTTTAATTCGTATTTATTATCAACCTTTATCCATTATATATAATTAAGTACTACAATCTCAACGAAACTAAGTACGCCAACGTCATATCACTTCAGTTTTATTCAACTTTATTCAAAGTTAAAAAAACTGTCAATAAAATATGATTCTTGCATAGCATTTGTAAATAGCTTCTGCCGTGTCTGAAGATGCTGCTATAATAAGTGAACATCTGGTTACCGAGCTTTGCTCGGTATTTAGCAATTGTTAGTATTTATTTTGTGTTTTTTTTTAATTCGTTTAGGCATTTTTATGTGAACACGTTATAAGAAGACACAACACAATATAAGGGTGAATATACGCTATTTGGTTTATTCGTGTCCCAGAAAAAACAAACACTCATTGACTTCCTGGAACTTAACAACGCCATCTGCTGATGGGTCCTTAAAGCAATTAGTAAAAGCAAATAGCAAAAAGTAGTATCACTATTCGTCAATAGATGTCAGGAAGAGTCATATTTTAAACAACTTTTGTATTTTTTTAATAAAATAACATTTTCTAAAAATAATGTATAAGATTATTAGTATTTATTTTGTGTTTTTTTTAATTCGTTTAGGCATTTTTATATGAACACGTTATAAGAAGACACAACACAATATAAGGGTGAATATACACTATTTGGTTTATTCGTGTCCCAGAAAAAACAAACACTCATTGACTTCCTGGTACTTAACAACGCCATCTGCTGATGGGTCCTTAAAGCAATTAGTAAAAGCTAATAGCAAAAAGTAGTATTACTATTCGCCAATAGATGTCAGGAGAGTCATATTTTAAACGACTCCTTTTGTATTTTTTTTAATAAAATTACATTTTCTAAAAATGATTCTTAGCTAGATCGATTTATCGCCGCCGAAATCCCCTACTAATCGTTAGAGCTGATTCCGAGATTCCAATAAATATGTTATATATACAAGAATTGCTCCTTTAAATGTATAAGATTAGGGGGATAGTTTTCATTCATTTATATTACTTAATATTGTGAATAGTAGCCTAGAGGTTAAAGGCCAGCCTCTCGTGTATAAGGGTGCGGGGTAGAAACCATGCAAGTACCAATGTGATTTTTCAGAGTACTTGTTATAAGAGAATATTTTGGACACAACTGACAGACGGCGAAGCAAAACATCGTAAGGAAATCTGGACTTATAATTTCACAATTGTAGGTTTGAAATCACAAACCCGCCTTGAGTAAGCATGGTGATTAATGGACAAACCTTATCCAAATGAGAAGAGGCCTTTCCTCAGCAGTGGTCTCTGATAGGCCGATGATAATGAACTTAAGATATTAATGAAATACTGTAAATAATTTATATATTTAATGAATAAAGTATTTTGTATAACATAGATATTTATACTAATTTATTTATTTTTATAATAGTATTGCAACTATTGCACTTAATAAATATCGTATTTTTTTATCAGCATTAAAAAAAAATTAATTTAATTTAAAATGGTTGGGCACTGTATCCGTTCTTTCAGTAGAACTGTTTCCTGAAGAAGTGGTAGACTTCTAAAACACACACCATACGCAGAGTTCATAACTTCACACCATATTGGAGGCAGAGCCTAGCTGTGTCAAATTCCTATATCTAGAACGTGGGCTGGTTCCACCAGGGATGTATAACCCTTTCACTGAAGATCGGCGTCAGGTAGCCTTTAATGGCTGCGTTGAGTCCGATGAATGATAGAACATGTTACCTTTTTCCTGTTCCAGCCCTTTCCTGCCCTTCCTCTTATGTTATAAATGTCCATGGGCGACGGTGAATACTTCCTATAAAGTATGACGTGTACTCGTATTGCACCTTTTATATAATAAAAAAATATAATTCTAATAACAGCTTAGTGGAATGGGAAATGTTTTTAAAATAAAACATTCACATCCAAGCATTAATGCTCCCAACCAATATTAATAAGAATACAACATGTCAGTTCATGAATCGTAACTTCAGACGTCTGACATAAGTCACAACGGCAGCTGTTCCTTTTGATAGTGTCAAAAACACCGCGCGCAGAGTATGGGTATTTAAAACTCATTAGATACTAAATAATTTATTTTTTTACATTTGTTTTAAATACCCAGTAACTATGTTCGCCAAACCGTACAAATTAAAATCAAACAACACATTGAAAAATTCAGGGAAGTAGGTTTCATTGCGTAGTCATTTAAGTTAATGTTTAATTAAATTTCATGTCAAGACTTCAGAATCTCAAGGATTCATATTTCAGAAAACAACTTGCGCAACGTATACAATATGAGTTTCTGGGAATTACTGAAGAAAATGTCAAGGAGTTAGTTCCGAACAAATCAAATGTTAGTTATATGGAGTTAGTGCTTCACTCTGGAGACACTGCAGGAGTGTATGTGATTGACGTAGTACCGGTCATGATCGATCTCGGTGAAAGTTTGATCCCAACTATCTGTGCTCTGTGGAAAGCCCCAGATTTGGTGCCCATTATTTGTATACACACCCCAGTTCTAAGTAAGGTAATATATAGATTTATATGAATTCAATATTGATTAAAATACAATTGATTGTAATATTGATTAAAATACAAATATTGATTTGTAGTGTAACTAAATATACACTCACTCTTTAATATTATAGATGGTAAGATTTATGTTCTGTGATCTTATTTTCCTTAGTAATTATTTATCATAACCTCTCCTAATAGGACATAATTTTTAGTCATTAATGTTAAGATCTTTCATTTGTTAATATAATTGTTATGTATTTACATTATTTTCTATCATATATTAAAGAGGTAATGAAGGAAAGTATATATAAATGTGTATTCTAACTCTTCAGATCCACGGAGGGGCCCCTCTGTATGTTCCTGGTGTGAACACTCACGGTCAGTTCCCCCAGTATCGTTCAGGAGCATTGGTAGCTGCTTGTACCGGAGACAATGCCGCTGCCTGTATAGTTGGACGAGCCAAAATATCCTCCGCTGAACTACTGAGAGACAGAATGTAGGTCAGGTGTCAGGTTTAAAAAGTTTGTTAAGTGCTCGTCATGTTTGTTGTAGTTGATAGAAAATTTTTAAGTATTCTGTAACATTTTTGCTTAAGAACTTTGCATGATGTAGTTAATAACATAGAATTTTTGTCACTAGTAGTGTATATCGATATTATTTATTACATACACATATATATATTCTCATTATATCTAAATTAAGCTTTTTCAATTGACAGGAGTGTTTGTCTGGAAATCCTTCATGTATTTGGGGATCAATTGTATAAAGAAAAGAAATTTGTGAAAATAGAGAGACCCAAACTAGATCTTGGATCCTACAACATAACTGAACTATTGACTAATGAGATCAATAAGGTAACATTACTTCATAATTTATACTGCTGTATATTAATAAAAATACTTAGTCTTTGATTGAAAATAATAAATCTTACATTATCTTGTTTATGTTATGATTTATTCATTTAAAAATCTATAACAAATATAGAAAAGAGGAGGGAAATATTAAATAATTTAATTCAAAATGTTTCCAAATTATATATGTTTTGTATATGCATAACATTCACAGTTAAACATTCAACCAGTCAAAGACGAATGGCCAAGTCTAGTGAAGACAGAGTCTGCTCCCATCAATGAACCGGCAGTCATTGTTGACTCAGTCCCTGAAACAATTACAAATGTATCACAAGACGAGGAAAATAATGACCTCAATAATACAGCAGAGTCAGGTAGTAAATAACACAAGTGAAGATATGGATAGATGTTCTAGAATGAGATAATAATGATTTAAATGAAACTAATATTTTTCATATTACTATGCGACTTTAGTTTTGATAAATATCTCACCTAACCGTAATCACGGTCGCTGTAAAGTAGCCGGAGTATGGGAGTATATAGTTTTTATCAAAAAGAAAGTCACGTAGTACATCCTAAAAATATGAATTTCATTTAAATGTATAAGACTCGCGAAAATTTTGATGTTGATTGTAATTTCTTACTTACAATAAACAATACAAATGAATACACTAAAACAAGAAAACAAATATGTATATTAGAGAGTCACGTCAACACATGCTTCTATATCTCTTAAAATGGCGTCTGCTGATTGTAGTTGATCAAACTTTATATCATTTTTAATATCTGGAACAAAATGTCAATATCCTTTAGAATTCTCACCGGTTCGTCTTTCAATGGCGTGAGATTATTTCAATAGTAACGATTCATCTTTTACTTGATCCTTTTATATAATGCATGTTTTTTTTTCAGATGTATCATGTAAAGTCTCAATCCCGGGTGACATGGACGGTCTCCTTCGTTGGTGTTTGCTTTCATTTCTTAAACTGGAGGCTAAACATGTTGAACTGCCGCTCAAGACGAACTTATTATACAAGTTAGTATTGTTTGATTAACTTTGAACATTTAGGATTGTTCCAAAGAGTTACGACTTGGGGAACATGTTCAAGATGTACTAAAGAACACCTTTCGTATTCAAAGACTACTCTAGACATCAGTGGCGGCTGGTGGGTTATCGAACTGGTGGTTCACTTTACTAAAATATTGACAAAAACAACAATTGACATAAAATATGTTTATTTTTTGTACATTAATTCATAACTATATCCAACTCTGATACAAAGTCTATTAATCCACGAAACACTCCAGCATTACTGGACTCAATAGTTTCATCGTGACCTCGCAAAGCTAACTCAAATGCACCACAAAACTTGACACAATCGATAAGACGTGATAAAATGTATCTGTTTTTATCAACTTGTTTATTATACTTTTGGATATTACTTCTATACACAGAATCTAGCTGATTACGAATATCGACTGTGCCTAACACAGACAAACTCATTACATTTTGTAGGTGTACTTGTGCAGAATCGTGTTTTTTATTTTTTCACTTAAATGCGTCAAATCCTTGATTCCAGTTTCTGTCCAAATCGATTCTCCGCCAAAAATAATGCAAGGAAAACAAAAGAATGCATTAAGACGCTCACATCCACACAACCATTTCTTTCTATTATACATTTCACTTTTAAAACTTCGTATAAATGCTTTATTTTTAGATTTACACTCTTGTTTTAAATTTAAAAAGGGCCGTGACGGCCCGGCCAATTTTATGTTCACTTTACTTTGAAAAATTTTGTTATTTTCTTTAATATAATCAATATTTATACTCATTTTCAACTAATGAAAAACACAGTACAGAATAAAAGTTCTATTATAGAAACGAAATAAAAACTAAAACGAATTACGGAAATAATTATAAACAATAACGAATTAACGCGTCACGCATACAGTGAAAGTTGAAACAATACCAATAACGATTAACGAAATGTCAATCATAGCACCCATCCTTTCGGCCGGCCCCTTGCCGGCCGGCTCAATCCGTCATATATCGGGTGCTCTCGGTAACCTTCGGCCGCTTCGTGCGGCGCGCGAGAACCGACTCGTTACTCGGTACATTTCTATGAACTATCTTTTGTCTCATGCGCCAGGCGTATTGATGCGTGTCTCATACAAGATGTATTAGCAGTCCTCGTGCACTCGCCGGAGCGCACGATATGAGTTTAGTAAAGCGCTCAAACTTTTTGACCATAATTGGAAATTAAATTTTTTATACCTTTTTGTATGTTTAAAAAATAAATATTAAAATGGTAATTTAAAAATTAAGATGACATAATATTTTGTAATTTTTAAATATTTTGAATTGGTGGTTCAGCGCACGGGCGCACTTAAGGTACAGCCGCCACTGCTAGACATTATAAAGTATATTTTATATATGACTAGTTTTCTGCCCGCGTGGAGTTCGGTTATATCGCGTTTTCAAGAGAACCTTTCAAAAGTCTGTGATAAAAACTATCCTGTTCTTTTTCAAGGTCAACTCTATCTCGGTACCAGATTTCATTAAAATCAATTCAGTGGTTAAGGCGTGAAAGCGTAACAGACAGACAGACAGAGTAACTTTCGCATTTATAATATTAGTATTGATTCTCTGTGTTAATAGGATGCATGTGTTTGTTTAAGGAACCACCTCATGCCGCTGTGTGCATGTCCGACCGAACCTTAGATGTTAAGAAGTCGAGCTTCAAGAAGATGGGCAAGTTTCTGGAGGCCATGCAACGGGTACGGTCCAGTATAACACTTAATGTAATGTATATAGTGTTTACAATATACGGAACCACATTGTACGGTACGGTACGATGTATTATAATGTACATTTAGTGATTAGCAGAGGTAGCTTGGTCGCGACATCTACATGACATCTTGTTATATATGAACTATTAACCGTTTACCAAACATTAATATTGGAAGTATCTACTACATATTATATCAAGTTTGTTAATTTGTTTCGACATTAACCACTAACCTTTTAACCACTAGGCCACCACTGACTGGCAAGAAGAAGAGAATGAAGACTAAGAAATAATTGTTGAAGTAGAAATCTAATATATAAAATTCTCGTGTCACAGTTTTCGTGCCCATACTCCTCCGAAACAACCTGACCGATTTTGATGAAATTTTTTGTGCTTATTCGGTAGCTATGAGAATCGGCCAACATCTTTTTTTCATCCCCCTAAATGTTAGGGGTAGTCCACGCCTAAATTTTTTTTTTTTATTTTTTAGACAAAATTTTTAATTACTATTTTTTTATGATACAACGTACAAAAATACATACAATCCTAAATTTTCACCCTTCTACGATCAACCCTTATTTTTTAATAGCTATTTTAGTAATTTAATCATTTTTCATCTCCGGTCGATAACTGATCAATCGTCATTTAATAAGTTATCCCCGCCAGATATCTACAGGTGTCACTTCTGACCCAGTAAACAGCACGGAGTAGGGATGAGAACGAAGCCGGTCTTCTGTTTCTCTCACACAATTAGACTTCTCTCACTCCCTACACAGTTGTCGGCCATCGTTATTGTTTGTGCATCAAGTGTAGTAGTAACGTTGACAATTATTATTTTGCTAGCTCAGTGTAACTCTCATATTAACTATTAATCATTCCTAATCACTTCAAAACACGGAGATTTATGGCTTTAATAGGTAAACTCCAAAAATATAAATAAAAAAACGTAACAGATATTTCTTGATTATAGGGCGAAACGAAGTTCGCCGGGTCTTCTAGTATCTTATATAATGATGACATGTAGAAAAAAACAATCTATTCCACTTTAATCATTAGCAATATTACTATTCTTTCAATTAATAGGATACGATCTGATCAAACTTTCTTTATTACAATAGATCGTGGAGTATACCTACTGGGGAAACCACGTTAAAAAAAATGCGCCAAGTACATTACCTCACTATAGGTGGTGCGGAAATGTGTGCTATTATGTAAAATATGAATTTTCTAATGATTAAAACCGCGATATCTCATGAATGGTGAGTCGTAAGAGAAAAAATGACTGGACCATTTTTGTAGAGAATTGTATGATCTACAACTTTTGTCCGACCTATTTTTACGATAATACTTACTGTTTTCGAGAAAAATGGAAAAAACCTTAATTTTTTTTTTTAATCTTTTGACCTTGAATAAATTTTTTTGCAGAAGTAGGATCGAAGGGGATTTTTGATATTTCATTTATAATGATGTATTTAACGTCTCTGGCAATTTTCAGCTCTATGCGAATTTTGGCTAAGTTATGACTTATTTTTGTCTATTTTGACTGGACTATAGTGAGAGGAGCTTCAACAGTGCCTGGGACTTGTGACCCAGGTGTAGGTTTAAGGGGCCCTATCTAATGCGTTAAACGCTCACCTCCACTGTCCAAGCTCCTCTCTCTACCAAATTTGATTAAATATATATATATATATATATATATATATATATATATATATATATATATATATATATATATATATATATATATATGTTTGTTTCAGGTAACGTCCAGTCCGTCGTGCGGCGTGTTATACGCGGTGTGCTCCGACCAACACTCGAAGGAGAGGAGTCAGTTCGACACCAGCTTCAAGACCCTGGACCCCTACGACTACTCCAGCATCGGTGAGTACCCGCCACGCACACAAATAGGACTGGTGGGCATAGCACTAGAGCTATATCATATATATTACTGTTTCAGCCACGATCGACGTGAAACGCAACATATACTCGCTACGGGACGCAGATAGCGCTAGTAGAGAACATGGGGGACTTTGAACAAGTTCAGGAGTCGTGTGTGAAGTTGACGCGGTGAGGAGATATACAGACACAAACAGACACACACACAGAGACAGACAAACACTGATATACAGAAGATTAACCGGATTATTTGTTGTCGATAGGCATTCGGATAATCGAACATCCGGATGTATGAAGAAAAGGCCGGTTTTATGCATATGTAGTACATAATATTACATGTTTATTTAAAAAATAAAGAACAATATGTATTTGTTATTTTGCAATTGGTGACGATGAATTAAAATAATAAGTTTAATTTGGTTTAGAATATTTGGTAATAGTCATTTGGCGTACGGCACTCTCAACAACACCGCTCTCTTACGCTTTGACATTTCTTCTTGTCCGGACTTGTCCGTGGTCAGAATAATCGCGAATCCGTATAACTGAGGGCCGGATAATTGAGTTTCTACTGTACTTAGGGGACGTTCAAGTATTACGTATTAATATTAACCCCCCCCCCCCCAACCCCCTTGTCAGCAAAAGTAAGCAAAACTCTTACCCCTCCCCTCATGCTTACGTAAACATTTTCAATTACTGTATTGTTTTTTTTTTTAAATACAAATAAAAAAAAATAAAACAAATATTTTCGTATGGATCTTCTCGATGTGACGATAAAAAAGTAAATAACTACTGATGACATAATCAATACCTAGACTCCCCTACCCCCCATGTCATCCAAAATAAGCAGAGCAAAGATCCCCCCGCCCCTCCATAGTGCTTACGTAATACTTGAATGGCCCCTTACATATAACATTTATTATAAATAGTATTGGTTTTTCTTTAATTAAATATTACACTAAGACGAGGAGGAAGACGACCTCGCTGGAGGCTCTGAAAACGATGACGGATCAGACTCGGGCTCGGACAATGATGACGACTGTTAGTATATATATATAACACATACATACATACATATAACATATACATACACATATATATACTAGCTAACCCGGCAAACGTTATTTTATCATAATATAAAAAATAGGTTTCGGTGATGAAAAAGTAAAATTTTTGGGTTGTATGTATTTTTCAATGCTACATTATAAAAAAATAAATCCTACGAAGAAAAATAACGGTGAGCAACCCTTATGAATTAGGGGTATGAAAAATAGATGTTGGCCGATTCTCAGAGCTACTCAAAATGCGTACAAAATTTCATCAAAATCGGTCCAGCCGTTTCGGAGAAGCTTGTTATCTAACAGTGGAATAGTGGTTAAAAGTCCCGCCTCTCATACACGAGGGTGCGGGTTCGATCCTGGCCCTGGCAACTACCAATGTGATGTTTATATGTACGAGTCCAAAGAGGGTTGATGTCAGGCTGCCGGTCATAAAAACAATAAGCCAAAACTATTCACAACAATGCAGACCCTGGCTATAGCTGGGAAAATTCCAGAAAGAAGACGAAGATATTGGAATCTACATAGTATATTAATAGCTAAAAATGTAGTTTCTTTTTTACAGAGAAACTCATTAATCTTTTAATTGATTGTGTCATATAAATCACATTTAATATATATATCAATATTTAATTTGCAGGCAGCCGAAGAAGTGAGCAGTGACACAGACAGAGATATTGACTTTGAAAATATTATTGAATTTGAATACTGAGAACAATGACATAAGTGTACTGTAAATAAATACCATTTATAACATATATATGGGTTTTATTATATTAATATAGAAGTCCTTCTGACATTGTGAACGCCATGTATAATAAAAAGTTACTTTGGTTTTCTATTCATATCATAAAATATATTGAAAAGTATAAAATAAGAAATTAGTGAACAGATGAATATTTAAAAAGAATTATTTTGATAATTAAATGGAAAATCTTCAAATAGTTTAATATTTTTTTGTCTTATTAACCAAGTTATATAATTGTCTACCAAGAACAAACTAAATTTTGAGTTCTAAGTTCACTTTCAAATTTCTAGACACCGAGCTTTGCTAGTTATTTAGCAATTATTAGTTTATATTTTGTGTATTTTTTTTTGTTGAGACATTTTTAAGTGAACACGTTTAGAGGACACAAAACAATATAAATCAACAATTAATTTCTTAGTCTAACCACAAAACAAACATTGACTTCCTAGTTCCTGTTACTTAATGACGACATCTGCTGTTGTGTCGTTAAAGCAATTAGCAACAAGTAGTATTACTATTCGCCAATAGATGTCAGGAAGAGTCATTTTTTTAACGCCTCCTTTTTGTTATTTTTTTTATACTGTCATCCTTATTTATTATTGGGCTATTGACGTCTGACAATGATTTTTCATTAAATAACATTTTCTAAAAATGATTGCCTGCTAGATCGATTAATCGCCCCGAAACCTCTATACTAAATTTCATGAAAATCTTTGGAGCCGATTCCGAGATTCCAATATAAATATATACAAGAGTTGCTCATTGAAATATTTAAGATATATAGTGTTATATGCTTAATACATAGGAATATATACATTCATTTATTTAAGTTTTCTTCATAAAATTCGAAGAGAACTTGCTAATGATGCTCTTTTTACAAACCTAATGAATTGAACTTATATTGGGATTGTTAGATTCACATCCTAAACCTATTCAACCTATTCAAATCCTAAACCTTAAATCTTAAACCTAAGATTGCTGATTGGCCGATTGCGAATTACGAACCTTAAAGTCGAGGTTTTAGTTCAAATGTCATTTAGTTGTTCAAATGTCATTGTCATTTACTTTGTTTGGATTACACACATCATGCCGAAAATCGTAAGTATTTCATAAAATGTTTCGTTGGTCGTGTCTGTCTTCGTTTAGTCTTTTATTTGATGATACCTATATCATTTTGTTAACAGCCGAATCTCCTTGCATTTGGCAAACATTGTCACAATTGTGGAAAGTGGATGGAGCGAAGGGCTCTTCGTAAAGATGGTGAGTAGTATTTTAGTAGGTATGTAGGCAGGTTGTGTTTATAAGTGAATTTTGTTTTGTTTTCTTCTTAAAGTGTGGATTGTAAGCCTTCTGCATTTAAAAATAAAATAAGTACTTATTTACTTCCAGTGACATGCAATTTTTTGTAATGGCAAAATATTTGCCAGAGATGGCAAACAAAAGCAAACGTGCAGTCGATGTGTGGAATGCGACAACATTATACTCGGTAAGCGGCTCAATATTTTTTCTCTATAATTCGACAAATAATAATAAATGACCACATGCATAGGTGTCATGAACACATACAGAAACAGACCCGATTTTTTCATCGTTTTTCTCGATAATGAAATGAACCCCTTCATGCGCAAGTTCTACTTGAACTTGGCTGGCTCTTATTATATAATAGACATTATTAATTGTATAATATATTTTTGCAGATAATTTCAATTATTGCGAGTGCTGTGGCCTAGAAACAATTAGGCAGTTAAGAATAACCAAAGCTCGGACACTTTTAAACCCTTTTTTCAAAAAATCAAACTGCTCCTGTTGCATCTGTTAATTCACTAGCTGCCTCTACAATACAACCTGACAATTCCCAAGATTTATTTGATGATGACTTGTGGGTAAGTTAATGGTGTAGGTCACTGAGTACAGTAAAATGAAAAATAATACTTATTAGCAGATACATTCACAATAGTTATTATTATTTGAATATTTATCTAATATATTTTCTCCTTTAAGGTCGATAACGAAGAGTTGATGATAGTCAAAAAGTTGCTGGAGACTGATGATGTTTCTTCGGACAACAAGAAAAAACAAAAATCAATGCTGTCAGTCTGCGGTGATTTAATTTCTTTAAAAGAAGAGGAGAAAGAAAATATATCTAATGACAGGCATACCCCCGAAGAAGCGTAAATGTTAAATTATATGTTTTGTTAATTTGTGTTAGTTTATTTTGAAAGTTAATTTGAAAAATAATTTGTGTAAAAGCTTTTGCAGTTTTTATTTATTATATTTAATAAACATAACGAACGAAGCTATATGAATCTATGCTTTGCTTATTCCTTTATACTCCTCGAGAACCGATGACTACAGAAATTTCTACCTACATTTTGCAACTAGATGTGTATTATGAGTCAAATTTCACCCATGCGAAGCCGGGTTTTCTTCTAGTAATAATATAAAATATGATTTTCATATATCCTAATATAAATAAAAATAGTGTTGTATTTTATATATTACATGTGTTAGCTGTGAAGAAAGCGATAATAATATTTTTAGTCATATAGAGTTATATTAGGTCTATACTGTTTGGATACTTCTTAATTTATCCCATTATAGTTAATAAGAACGTACAATGTATTGATTACAAGATATTGTAATTTTATTACCAGATTTTTTTTTTCGGATGAAGTCTGATAATTTTAGTTAATTAATATTTCAGGATCATTTGTAACAGAATAAATACAAAGTTTAACACAAAAGTTTTTAAATAGCGCCATCTATCTTACTGCTGCCTTAACTTCAATATTTTCTTACTATTCTCAAAGTAACTAATACCAATTTCAGGACCTAACTATTAAGTAAAATTTTGATAAATGATATTAATTTAAATACTTATTATTTTTACATAACAGGCACATGATTTAGCTGTTTAAATTAAATAATATATTTTATATAAAGCGACATCTATTGTTTCTTATTGACATTTCTTACTCAAAATGTTGCGCTATTCGACGACAGATGGCAGTTTTGTGAACTGTATACAAACTTACAATAAGTAACTTGACAACTAATTTTATTCTTTTAAAGAATGACTCATGCCTTTTTTTAATATATTTTTTTTATATTCATTAAATAGATAGAAATATTTCAATTTTTATTAAATTGCCATTAAAATAAAATTTGACCCCTTACCTAATAAAAGGTTTTTTTCAAAAATGTTAAAAATCTACATATTATTTATAACTTTTGAACTTCTAATTATATGTTATTCTAACAGAATCATCAAGACGGAATCATCTCGTTATATATGTATGTATGTTCACATCAGTATCTACTAAGAACAAACAAACGTTTTAATACTTTTTTTCTTACGAGCCACCGTTTCTGAGATATAACGATTCAAAAAGTTATAACAGTTTTTATCGTCATAATATGCATGAATTTCACCCTAATTTTTTGGTCTTATTTGAAAGGACTATAAATAAAGAGATATAACAACTCGAGAAATATATACGTGTCGTATTCATGCATATTATGACGATAACAACTTTAATAACTTTTTTGAATCGTTATATCTCAGAAACGGTGGCTCGTAAGAAGAAAAGTTAGATACATTTGTTGTAGATAATTTTATGATCTATAATTTTTGTCTTAAGTACTTTTCTGATAAAACTTACGGTTTTGCTGAAAATCGCGAAAAACTCAATTTTTTGACATTTGATCTTGACGGTTTTCGCGATTTTCAGCAAAACGGTAAGTTTTATCAGAAAAGTACCTCAGAGAAAAATTATAGATCATGAAATTATCTACAACAAACGTTTTCATACTTTTTTTCTTACGAGCCACCGTTTCTGAGATATAACGATTCAAAAATTTATAACAGTTGTTATCGTCATAATATGCATGAATTTCAAACTGATTTTTTGGTCTTATTTGAAAGGACTATAAATAAAGAGATATAACTACTCGAGAAATATATAGGTACGTGTCGTATTCATGCATATTATGACGATAACAACTTTAATAACTTTTTTGAATCGTTATATCTCAGAAACGGTGGCTCGTAGGAAGAAAAGTTAGATACATTTGTTGTAGATAATTTTATGATCTATAATTTTTGTCTGAAGTACTTTTCTGATAAAACTTACGGTTTTGCTGAAAATCGCGAAAAACTCAATTTTTTGACATTTGATCTTGACGTTTTTCGCGATTTTCAGCAAAACGGTAAGTTTTATCAGAAAAGTACCTCAGACAAAAATTATAGATCATGAAATTATCTACAACAAACGTTTTCATACTTTTTTTCTTACGAGCCACCGTTTCTGAGATATAACGATTCAAAAATTTATAACAGTTGTTATCGTCATAATATGCATGAATTTCAAACTGATTTTTTGGTCTTATTTGAAAGGACTATAAATAAAGAGATATAACAACTCGAGAAATATATAGGTACGTGTCGTATTCATGCATATTATGACGATAACAACTTTAATAACTTTTTTGAATCGTTATATCTCAGAAACGGTGGCTCGTAGGAAGAAAAGTTAGATACATTTGTTGTAGATAATTTTATGATCTATAATTTTTGTCTGAAGTACTTTTCTGATAAAACTTACGGTTTTGCTGAAAATCGCGAAAAACTCAATTTTTTGACATTTGATCTTGACGTTTTTCGCGATTTTCAGCAAAACGATAAGTTTTATCAGAAAAGTACCTCAGACAAAAATTATAGATCATGAAATTATCTACAACAAACGTTTTCATACTTTTTTTCTTACGAGCCACCGTTTCTGAGATATAACGATTCAAAAATTTATAACAGTTGTTATCGTCATAATATGCATGAATTTCAAACTGATTTTTTGGTCTTATTTGAAAGGACTATAAATAAAGAGATATAACAACTCTAGAAATATATAGGTACGTGTCGTATTCATGCATATTATGACGATAACAACTTTAATAACTTTTTTGAATCGTTATATCTCAGAAACGGTGGCTCGTAGGAAGAAAAGTTAGATACATTTGTTGTAGATAATTTTATGATCTATAATTTTTGTCTGAAGTACTTTTCTGATAAAACTTACGGTTTTGCTGAAAATCGCGAAAAACTCAATTTTTTGACATTTGATCTTGACGTTTTTCGCGATTTTCAGCAAAACGGTAAGTTTTATCAGAAAAGTACCTCAGACAAAAATTATAGATCATGAAATTATCTACAACAAACGTTTTTATACTTTTTTTCTTACGAGCCACCGTTTCTGAGATATAACGATTCAAAAATTTATAACAGTTGTTATCGTCATAATATGCATGAATTTCAAACTGATTTTTTGGTCTTATTTGAAAGGACTATAAATAAAGAGATATAACAACTCGAGAAATATATACGTGTCGTATTCATGCATATTATGACGATAACAACTTTAATAACTTTTTTGAATCGTTATATCTCAGAAACGGTGGCTCGTAAGAAGAAAAGTTAGATACATTTGTTGTAGATAATTTTATGATCTATAATTTTTGTCTTAAGTACTTTTCTGATAAAACTTACGGTTTTGCTGAAAATCGCGAAAAACTCAATTTTTTGACATTTGATCTTGACGTTTTTCGCGATTTTCAGCAAAACGGTAAGTTTTATCAGAAAAGTACCTCAGACAAAAATTATAGATCATGAAATTATCTACAACAAACGTTTTAATACTTTTTTTCTTACGAGCCACCGTTTCTGAGATATAACGATTCAAAAATTTATAACAGTTGTTATCGTCATAATATGCATGAATTTCAAACTGATTTTTTGGTCTTATTTGAAAGGACTATAAATAAAGAGATATAACTACTCGAGAAATATATAGGTACGTGTCGTATTCATGCATATTATGACGATAACAACTTTAATAACTTTTTTGAATCGTTATATCTCAGAAACGGTGGCTCGTAGGAAGAAAAGTTAGATACATTTGTTGTAGATAATTTTATGATCTATAATTTTTGTCTGAAGTACTTTTCTGATAAAACTTACGGTTTTGCTGAAAATCGCGAAAAACTCAATTTTTTGACATTTGATCTTGACGTTTTTCGCGATTTTCAGCAAAACGGTAAGTTTTATCAGAAAAGTACCTCAAACAAAAATTATAGATCATGAAATTATCTACAACAAACGTTTTCATACTTTTTTTCTTACGAGCCACCGTTTCTGAGATATAACGATTCAAAAATTTATAACAGTTGTTATCGTCATAATATGCATGAATTTCAAACTGATTTTTTGGTCTTATTTGAAAGGACTATAAATAAAGAGATATAACAACTCGAGAAATATATACGTGTCGTATTCATGCATATTATGACGATAACAACTTTAATAACTTTTTTGAATCGTTATATCTCAGAAACGGTGGCTCGTAAGAAGAAAAGTTAGATACATTTGTTGTAGATAATTTTATGATCTATAATTTTTGTCTTAAGTACTTTTCTGATAAAACTTACGGTTTTGCTGAAAATCGCGAAAAAACTCAATTTTTTGACATTTGATCTTGACGGTTTTCGCGATTTTCAGCAAAACGGTAAGTTTTATCAGAAAAGTACCTCAGACAAAAATTATAGATCATGAAATTATCTACAACAAACGTTTTAATACTTTTTTTCTTACGAGCCACCGTTTCTGAGATATAACGATTCAAAAAATTTATAACAGTTGTTATCGTCATAATATGCATGAATTTCAAACTGATTTTTTGGTCTTATTTGAAAGGACTATAAATAAAGAGATATAACAACTCTAGAAATATATAGGTACGTGTCGTATTCATGCATATTATGACGATAACAACTTTAATAACTTTTTTGAATCGTTATATCTCAGAAACGGTGGCTCGTAGGAAGAAAAGTTAGATACATTTGTTGTAGATAATTTTATGATCTATAATTTTTGTCTGAAGTACTTTTCTGATAAAACTTACGGTTTTGCTGAAAATCGCGAAAAACTCAATTTTTTGACATTTGATCTTGACGTTTTTCGCGATTTTCAGCAAAACGGTAAGTTTTATCAGAAAAGTACCTCAGACAAAAATTATAGATCATGAAATTATCTACAACAATTGTTTTCATACTTTTTTTCTTACGAGCCACCGTTTCTGAGATATAACGATTCAAAAATTTATAACAGTTGTTATCGTCATAAT